GGGCCCCGGCGTCCGGGCCGCACCTGCTGCTCGCGCAGCGCCCGCTGCAGCAGCAGCCCGAACACCTGGGCCCGCCAGCGCCCCAGGAGGCGGCGCCAGGGGGGCGGCCCCGGCGGCACCTGGGGGGACACGGGGTGGGGGTCACGGTCACCCACGGTGTCCACGGACACCTATGGAGCCCCCTACGGCACCCATGGAGTCCATAGAGCCCTATGGAGCCCTATGGCACCAATGGAGCCCTATGGCACCCATAGAGACCTATGGAGCCCATAGAGCCCCCTATGGCACCTATGGAGCCCATAGAGCCCCCTATGGCACCTATGGAGCCCATAGAACCCTACGGAGCCCTAAGGCACCCATGGAGCCCTATAGCACCCATAGAGACCTGTGGAGACCATAGACCCCCTATGGTACCTATGGAGCCCATAGAGCCCCCTGCGGCACCCATGGAGCCCTATAGCACCCATAGAGACCTGTGCAGCCCATAGAGCCCCCTACAGCACCCATGGAGCCCTATAGCACCCATAGAGACCTGTGGAGTCCATAGAGCCCCCTATGGCACCTATGGAGCCCTATAGCACCATAGAGACCTATGGAGCCCAGAGAATCCCCTACAGCACCTATGGAGCCCATAGAGCCCCTATAGCACCTATGGAGCCCATAGAACCCTACGGAGCCCTATGGCATCCATGGAGCCCTATAGCACCCATAGAGACCTGTGGAGCCCATAGACCCCCTATGGTACCTATGGAGCCCATAGAGCCCCCTGCGGCACCCATGGAGCCCTATAGCACCCATAGAGACATATGGAGCCCATAGAGCCCGCTATAGCACCTATGGAGCCCATAGAACCCTATGGAGCCCTATGGCACCCATGGAGCCCTATAGCACCCATAGAGACCTGTGAGGCATAGACCCTCTATGGCACCTTTAGAGCCCTATGGCACCCACAGAACCCTATGGAGCCCATGGAACCCTATGGAGCCCATAGAGACTTATGGAGCCTATACAGCCTCCTATGGCATCTATAGACGCCTATGTAGCCCGTAGAGCCCCCTATGGCACCTATAAAGCCCTAGGGAGCCTATAGGCCCCTATGGCACCCATAGAGCCCCCCATCACACCTATATACCGGAATGGCACTTATAGACCTCCAATGGCACCTATAGAATCCTATGGAGCCCATGGAGTCCCCTAGGGCACCTATAGACCCCTATGGCACCCATAGAGCCCTATGGTGCCCAGAGCCATAT